ATCAACGCATATGCATGTCCATCCAACATTTCGTACGGTTAAGGTACATGCAGAATGACACAAATTCCGCTTCCATTTAATTTGAAAGGTTTCAAGTTCAAGTTATTGTCGCACTATTGTCGCACATGTAAACGCGTAACTTCGATGTTGCAATCCTCGGGACATCTTCTTCAGGAACGGATCTATATGTGTGTTTCCTCATTGACATGTCCTTTGAACTGGGATGTTACATTTTGTGCGAGTGAGAAGTGAAAAAAAAAACAAATAGATAAGAATTGGAGCAACGCAAGCAAGCAAAACTTGGAACAAGGTTTCTTTGTTCTCGTGGTTAAGGCCAATCACACCCAATGAAAATATCAAGAAAGACATTTTGCAACTTGTTCTTCAATTTTCAGTGTCAGGACACCATCACCATTGCCCTCTCCTCATGGAATGTGCTAAATAAAAGTGCATTCCATGCAATCCCACTGGAAAGAAAACCATTCCACATGGTGGACAACTACTGTATCGTGAGTACTGTGGTTCCTGCCAGCACCCAAATGACAGGACATTGACAGTGATTTAGTACAGGCCCCAACATACAGTACCGGTAATAAGAAGGCAGTGCTCTCTTGATTAGTGGGTTATATTAGTGCCTCTCCACCTTTGTATTTCCTGATTTTCACCAAGCTTGATATGCTACAGGTTCAATCATATAATCTTTCCAAAAGATGTTAGAAAATCAGGAGGAAGATTGCAGTTTTGTTTTGATGGCTATTTGGTCTTAACTGAATCTTTGCTTGAAATTCACCGCTTGACAGGGGGACTAGACACTAGGTTTATTTATTTTGAAATCGTATGAATCACTATTATTGCACACAGACCACTCAACTAATTGCGTGGCTGTGTCAAAGTCTTTTTTTAGGAATTGTCACAGCAAAGGAGTGAATACAGACAAAGTCCGCAAGTAGCTTTTGATTTACCTTTGCAGTGTGATCATTCTACTTTTAATGAAGATATGCACCCTGAAGAATGTATATACTGTACATCATTTTGGAATCAAACAAAAAGGGATGTCATTATAAGGGATATCATTAAAAGGGGGTGGATACTTTTGCAAGACACTGTATATGTCAGTGTGGGTTATGTATGGCTCTTTGAGAAATACTGAGTCTATGAAAGGGAAAAAATATAAGTAAAAATCATAGATAGTAAGACATCTAATCTAAAAAGTCAAAGATTTTAACATTATACTGTTGCTACGCTTTGTGAAAGCATGACATTTGAAAGATATTCCCTCCTAGGACTATGGAAACAAGATCCTCAAGAGAAAAGACAGTCTTGAAAAAGATGTAGGATATTCAACAATTATATTAAACAAGAATTAAATTAAAAAGGAAACCATTCTGATACCAGGGTAAGAAAAGGAATTTGAGGCTAGAAAAAGGAATGCAAGATTAAGCTAATCTCAATAAAAGCAAGTGCATAATATTAATTGGATTTGACATTTAAACTGCTACAAATACGAACAACGCACAGAACAAATAAGCACAAGAATTGATGGGTAAGATAAAGGCAATTTAAAGTTCCACTCCTTGCATTCTTAATCTCCTTCAACTGGAACCAACCTTGCTAATAATCCTATTAGCAATGCTGGATTCTTTGTGTTCCCTGAGGACACAGAGTTCATAGAAACTGTTTCAAAAAATTCTCCTTGGTGTTGATTCATTACCTGAGACAGAAGGAGCATGTAAATCTGAAAGAAACCTTTGGTAGCCCAAACTAATCACCATCCTAAAACCATATTATATGCTCCATTGTTTACATTACTGGATTGGAAGCCCCAGGGATGAGAATGGGGAACTAGGCCTCAAAGTGACCCTTTTTTCACTTGATTTAAAATCATTAGTCACTGGGAATAGGTTTAGGTAATAGGCTTATAGGTTTTTAAGGGGTTTTCTACCGTCAGTATAGCTATTTTATCCTGTTTTCCTTCTGTGGAATAAATATGTTGTTCCCCTTTAAGTTCTTCAAAATTGTTGTTTTGAAACACTTGAATTTATTGAAACAATTATACATCCAACCGATTTTTGCATGTTCGTAAATTGTTGTACACCTTTTGGGACAGTAAGTCCAAAATAAACTCATAGCACTGATATGTGGAATGAAGACATGTTTTGGGTTAATTGAGATTAAGTTTGTTTTCATTTATATCTATGTAAGTGTAAATATATAAGTATATGTATATATGAATAGCTGGTTTGACCTCTGCCAACTTTATCTTACCATCATGCCTGGCCAGCATACCCAAAGTGCTGGCCAAATTCTTCACTGAGGAAACTATCGGCCTTATTTTGTGGCATGGAACTCGTACATAGAGAGTGGTTTTTAATGGCTCTCATATTCTGTAAATACAAATGTCGAATTCTGCTTACAAAATCTTGTAAATTTCCACAAACTCAAGGCTTTGCTCCGCTACCCTAAAACTACTAATAATTGGTTAGCTGTAATCCCTTTGTGAAATTGTCTGTGTAGTATTTGAAGTGGTCTTTTTGATTCAAGGCAAGGAGTGTAGCTTTCTGAGGGCTTTTAGTGATTTTGAATGTTTTGGACCCAGTCAGGCGGTTGCTGGGTCAAGGATCAGAGCAAGTTTGATATTTGTAACCATCATTTGTGCTTTTTCTTTAGATTGCAGAACCAAAGCTATTCTTCATGACTCTGAAACCCTCATCTGCAAATGCATAAGGCCAATGAGTATCATCCAGTTTTTTTAAATTAGCCAGATCCAAGGGAATGGTGAATTCCTTTGTAGAATTTAGCTAACCATGGTGCCTGTGGCAGCTGTGTTAATACTCTTACTGTAAGGCACAGCAAAGTTTTTGAAATAGGTATAAATAATGGTTGTAAAGAGGTGCTGAAACAACTTCTCTTAACTTCCCTGTCAACGACTTCTATAGTAAAAGGCTGCTGTCCAGATCGTTAGCTTCAGTATGACATTTTTATTACTACTTTATTATTGAATGTGAACTTGTTTGTGTTAAATCTGTTGGAAAAATTGGGTACCTTGACACAGAGTGGTAAGTGTAGGTCACTTCAATGATAAACTATCTATACATTTTCGGATCTCAGAATCTCCTACTGGACTATACTACGCAAGAGATGTTAGCATTTCTGCAGCTTTTTGAACAGCAGAATTAGATGGAGGCTAAATGCCGTGTTTTAAACCCATTCTCTTTTATTGAGGTGAAATTGACTAATAGGAGTTCTATATCTACTGCAACACATTGCTTGATTGTGTGAGCAAGCACTGACTTTGCTGTGCCAGAGTAAACTCTCCGGTGCATCTGTGGATCGTGAGGACGCTGTCTTTTGTTTGTCATATGTGGTGGACTGGGTGTGAATCAAGCCCCGAGTGTTGCTCTCTGTAATCTGGCAGCTGTGCTGAACTCTATTATATTTCTTTCAATGAAATGGCGTGACGAAATGATTAAGTGATTAATGGCGTGTAAGGTGTTTCACATGAATGCACACGTCACCTTTTAATTTTGAACCTGCTCAGGAGCAATTTCTTTGAAAGCCAGCTTTACCGTAAATAAATGCAGCAAAAAAAAGGTTATGTACGCAGGGAGAGGAGGGTACCATCTTCAACACTTTAACCACGGTCATTTTGTGCCTGCTGTTTGCACTTGACCATAGTTCCCACTAGTTGTCCTTTTGTTTGTTTTACTGTTTGATTCTGAAGACCTCCACTGGCTTGACAGTATCTTTGAGGACCTTCAATTTCAATCGGATTCTGTAGTTGTCTTCTCTGTTCAAGACTAAAAAGACTCAGTCATTTTATTCTGTCTTTGCAGGGCTGTCCCTTAAATCTTTGCATTTTTCATTTTATGGTGACCAAAATTGTACGCACGTCATGCATATACACATAAAATTAAATTCTAAACATATAATTTGCATATACACATAAAACTAATTGAAGTATACAAGCAGACCTCCATATACACTGGATAGGAACCAGAAAGTTACAACATATTACAAAACAATGTATAAAAAGTTTGTCCAGTAAGAACAATGTGATTATGAAGGGTTCAGGACCATAAGAGCTCAACTTTGCCCATGATCTGTCAACGTTACCAGCATCTAGGTTATTGCTATAAATTAGGAAGAGCAGTCGTTTAAATATGGATCATTGTGGTATTCCAATAATTCCATCACACCACATTATACTGAAACTGTTACTTGTTGGCACAGTAGTTTGCAGTTCTGGGGTCGTAGGTTTGAATTCGGCCAAGACCCTGGTCTATATAGAATCTGCATGCTCTCCTTTCATGTCACGGAAGTTTTTGGTGCCTGTTCAAATGCTTGGTTTCCCCTCACCTCCCAGAAATATGTATGTTGTGTTGAACTGGATATTCTTCAGTGTTCTCCTGAGATTTCTCCCCATGAGAAAGAGGGCCAATCTTCTTACTTCTTTACCCCCTGAACATGTACAGAGTGACCAAAGTACCCTTTTCCTCTGAGCTCTTTATATGGAGTATGGAATGAGGCAGACAGACATTTTCCAAGTTATTATTAGGGCTGAAAATAAGTTTGTGTGGTGTTTAAGTAAATATTTCATTATATACAGTTCTTTATTGTTACTTATTCTGATTGAGCAAAGATGTCTGAAAGAGCATTTTTAAAGCTATGATCAGCATAGTTCCAACATTGCTCCCTTTGTGTTTATGAAATAGGCTGTCACGTGCTGTTGATTATTTATTGATTTATGTGTTTTTAAGAAAAATTCAACAATTTACATTAGAAAGAAATATTTGAAATATAAACTGCTGAACCTTATTACATTATAAAAGCATTTTTGTGGGGACATTTTTTGTGCCTCTATCTTTAGCTTTGATTGTTGTGATCATTCTAAGACTTCACTTTTTTTAAAATAAGTACATGCATGTGTGTGCAAAAGTACTTATGTGATTTCATTTAGGAATACTGCAAAAATCACAAAGAATAATCAAAAGATTATATGGTTTAGAGAAACATGGAAGTACAATATTATTTCTTTAATGGATACATTCTTTGTGTATATAACACCGTACCAAAAACAATTCCTTTAATGTAAGTTTAAGTTATACATATTTTGTCTACATACACAACACTTTAGGACAAACTCACAAAGAAAATATTATTTAATTTTAATTTCACATGTGATGCAATAATTAACAATAGTCTACTTTTACATAGGCATTTACTGTACCAAAAAACAAAACAGGGCAAACTAGATGTCAAAATCAGAGATGCTAAATATTTACAAGTATTGTAAATATTTAGAAGAAAGTAGGCAAAATTGTTTAGAAATCTATAGTGTAGGAATTGTCCACAGACTTATTCCATTTTAATAAATGGTTTAGATGGTTAAAAAACATTATTATATTGGGCAGTCAAGTATATAATAATAATACTGAGAGCAGTTAGGGAATTTTAAGATCTTGAATTACCTCATTGCCAAACCAATATGAATGGTTTGGTAATGCTTTTTTTGGTGGAAACCAAAGTTAGCTTTTGTCTGTTGAGTTGAAGTTGTTATCTTCGATTTAATTATTTCAAGGGAAACTGGAGTTCTGTTTAGTAGACCTCCAAAGAATTTGTCATCACTGCCTAATCCAGTGATCCACAGAACAATTATTTCTATCCTGCTCTTAAAACTAAACCAAGTCCAAATTTAGGGCACCATTACACTGAAGGGCAAAACGTTTTAAAAAAGTACAGTATATTTGTGAAAAAAGCTGTTCCTGTCTCCAGTTTTAGTAAAGTAGAAGCAATCATTTTTTGAAGATTATAATACATGTTCAAAGAATAAATACAGAAAAAATAAACAAACTTTAGTTTAATAATAAATACAGAATAAATAAACTATAGTTTAGTTCTAAACTTTAAGTTGCTAACATCCCATTGTTTCATTTCTCTGGCCTTGGTCAGGCCAAGAACATAATTAACAGTGTCAGGTTAGGTTAAGGAAAGCAATTAATTTTAATGGGTGAGTGTATTGTGATAATTTGCATGCCTCTAAAAAAAATGGGGATGCTACAAATATTCTGTTTGTCTGTGTCAAATATTGTTGCCACACACAAAGCTAATGAGAGAGTTTCATCCTAGCTTCAGTGGCTGGTAAAAGCATTAACTCAAGAAATGATGAGCAGGGTTACTGGAGAGATTCACTTGCACAGTTTTAGGAAAACATGTATGGTGATATAAAACAAGAAAAACAATGTAATGGCTCAGTTTGTAAAGAAATACAGATACGAAAAAGCATTGAAAATCTAAATGTTTTTCGTTCATGCTTTTATTCTTTAGCCTAAGCACCAGAACTATTATCCAAGATTATCAATAAACCAGGTAGAAAAAAATTATTGTGGGTGTTTTTCTACGAGGAGGGAAAGTATAACTTTAAAATACACACTGGTTTCTCATGCAATCCATTCCCACTCTCTCTCAGAAATCATTCAATGACCAAAGAGTTCAATCTAAATAAATCTGTAAATTATTTTTTGCCCTTAATTTGGATTTACCAACTGCGATGGACTGGCGTCCAGTCCAGGGCGCACCCTGCCTTATGCCAGTTGCTTGGCTGTGATCGATTTTCAGGACCTCTTACACTTACACTGTAATGAAAAATGTTGACATGCTGCTGTAACACACACACGCAACCAGATCCCTTTGCCATTTATCATGTTGAAAGCTCCACTCTGCCTGGGTCACAACCGACATTACACAGAAGTTGCTTTTGGCTAGATAGTCAAAACAGCACAGAACTATTAATTTATGTTCAGACGTTTGGTGACTCCTGGTCACAACCAACATGGTCCCACTGACCCAGTCCTGAACTAACAACATTTGCATGATAGAGCTCAACCAACACTCTGAACGACTGTTTTTATTGGTTAAGATACAGTACCAATAGAATCTACAAAATATTTTGTGTTCTGGTTTCCTTTAAAATGTTAAAGCATTTTTTGTTCATTTAAGGGAATCAGCAGCCTTCAGTATTTTCCTCTTGTAGCTGAAAGCGTTTATTTAGGGATTGTCAGAGACTTATTCTAATCTAATATACAGTTTAGACCCAATTATTACATTGAGCAGTCAAGTATATAATGACTGCTCAATGTAATAATGCTCAATGCCTGTTTCAGGCAGTTTCAGGCTCTGCATTTCACTGAATGCCAAGCCAATATTAATGCTTGGTGATTCATTTTTGATGTCCACCAAAGTTAGCTTCATGTCCTGTTGGACTCGAGTCTCATTACCAAAAACCTTAAGACTTTGTAAAGGGATTTTCATTTTTGGTTTCTTGAAATCCATAGAGTTTGCAATCATGATACAATCAAGCAGTGCCCAAGCTTTCTTTTTCACTTTCTTTAAACTCATTATTATAAGCCCAAATTTAGGCCTCACTTCCCCATAAGGTTGCAATGATTTGTCTACCTAAAAACAGAACCACTGCTTCTCTGATGACATCAGCAGAGCTATTGAGAGTTTGCATAGGACCAAAGTGACCAAAAAAGAATCCTTTATTTATTTGTTAAAGAAGAAGTATTGCACAATTCTCTACTCTAGATTCACTGATAACCCTATAGGATGTTTACAGGAATCTGTAATTGTTTTGTCTTACAGGTTTTTTTAGTCCTACAGAACTTTTTCATAGGTCATTTACACGTCAGCACAAACCACTTTATATTGTTGGTACTGCTGCTCTGTTGCATTTCGTACATTTTTTAAAGTCAGAATTAAGTAGTTCAGTTGATTTATTGTCTTCACTTGAGAGCCTGACCGTAAGCACAAGTATGTTGGACTCCCCCAACTTATGAGAGATAAGATAGAATCCCACTTGGAGAATATTTTTATATAACTGAGCAAAAGTTGGAAAGGTGATGGTTTGACCTCCTCCAAAAGTTTAATCTTAAACTTCAGTTCTTCCTCAGAAAATGAGTGCTGAAAAAGGTGTTTAACTTTTGAGGGGTTTTTTTATGGTGATGTATTAACCTAAGCTTCATTTCCCTCATAATCGGAAAACTGTAGCAGTGAAAACTATACAGAGTTGTTCCTGAACATTTATTGGAGTTTACAATGAACGCACTGGAGAGAAAGCAGGAACCAAGTTCGCTTTCACCTCAGCTGCACTGACTTGTAATCATTCCTGCAGTCATTTCCTGCAGAAAATAAATTCCATATGTAAGCCTATTTTCTTCACATTCATCTTTTGCATCTTTGCTTCTTTTGCACCACCACAAGATGATGAGGCTCAATGAGCATCATTGTTTTCAAATTAAGAATCCTTTCTTTAAGAATTCTTTAAGAATCCTTGTCAGTCCTTTTTTTTCCCTCTGTTTGAGCCTTGCGACCACTCCTAAAAGCATTGTGTCCTAAAAAATGCCAAACGCTGACATTTCCACCAACCCAGTGACCAATGTTGTTACTGGAGAGCTTCAGAGCATGCAAACTGCTGGCGACCCCATATGCTGACATGAAACAGGCACAGCAATTTAAGGGTTCACTTTTTAAAGAGATACAGACACAAAAACACCCATGAACTTTCTGAAGTGTTTACGCCTACAGATGCTTTTTTAAACTGAGCCCTAAACAACAGGCTTGTCAGTCAATCTTTACCACAAATTAACAAATGAAAAGAGAAGAATCATTGAGAGCATGCAAGTTGATATTTTCCATAAGAAGGAGGAACAAAATCAGATTTTTAGTGACGTGGGCATGGTATTCTTTTCTTAAGCACTCTGAATTCAAAACACTCAGAAGGACCAAATCTTAAGAGCCCACATTAACTATGGAAAAAGTCTCTTAATCAACGTGACCACTCTTTCATCTCTCTTTTCAACGTGACCACTGTTTCATATACTGTGTCTACATGAAATGGGAAAGCATTTTCTTTCTTTTTTTTTGGAATCCCCAGGAAACTTCGACCGGGAGTTCTTCCCCAGGCTGAAATGTCTTGTCCATTCTGTGGTTTTCACCCTTTTTATGGAGAAGATACTTATCTAAAAGGGTCTGATGTGATGGTAACCCAGAGTGAAGATGGTGATTTTGTGTGATAATTTCCAGAAGATCTTCTGGCCACAAGAGATCAGTGGCAGTTACCAGCATTTAGTGAGCGGTGCCAGAGCAGGTCTGCTCTTCCTCCCTGGACTGAAAATGTCCCGAATTTCCGTCTCCAGTCTGACTCCAGGGACCTTAAAGATGGACACAGCTGAAAACAGAAGGAGAAGCCCCAGTAAAGACCTATCATTTCCCAACATTGAAGAAGAATATGAGAACAAAATCAGGATGTTATTCAGTTTTACACTCCTTTGCCAACAGTCTACACTCCTTCAAGGAAAAATATTTAAAAAGTGCTGCGCAAAATGTGTAAATTGTGTAAAAGATTATTTAACATTGGCAGAGGAATGCATTTTTTTTTGTCACTAGGAAGGCTGTGAAGTTAGAAAAAAATAAAGCACATTTTCCACAAGAGCGAAAAGGCTTCAAAGTTGTTAACTGATGCTTTTCGTTGGAAGCACTCATTAAACAAAACAAAGTCGATGTGATGAGTTGTCCAAATAAAATAAAAGCTAACTTGTTACTTTATGCTTCTCAGGCTTAACGACAGTCCATTTTCTTCTGGCAGGTTAATTCGCTTCTGGAAAAATTGGCCCTGGTGTGAGTGTGTGCGTGTCTGTGTTTGTGTCTGTGTGAGCCCTGTGATGGACTGACATCCTGTCCAGGGTGTACCCTGCCTTGTGCCCGTTTCTTACTGGGCCCGTTACCCCTGTGACCCTGAATTAAATAGAAAATGGATGGAGTGATTCATGGATTTTATAATACTGAATTTGTCTCCATTTTTGCATGTCTCTGAACATGAGACCGAAAAGTGAAGGCTAGGCAAGCTCAGTTTCTTTCTGGATCTATTTCTAGGTGTACTGAGAATACCCTGCCTCCAAAGGTGAAATCCATTCGAACCCTCCTCTCCCATTTTGGAAAGGACAGATACAAGAGAAGCCAATCAGCCTGCATCCCTCTTTTATTATGTGGGAAGAAGTCAGAGCCCTGACCTAAACAGGAAAAATGTGGAGAAATAAACCCAGGGCCACAAGGCATAATAGCTTATCAATGGCAGAAAACATTTAAGCGATGCAGTAATTTATACGGGGAAATTACTGGATATCTGTAACATCCAAGAAAGGTTGATAACACAGAGATACGCATTATAAAGTCAGGCTGGATGGATGAGTACTTGTGAGAGGAATACTGGGTGTAAATAATTCACTCAGATGCTTTGAGGTACTTCTGATGAAGATGTATTGCTGTGTTGTGTAAATACCTGCAGGTCTGGGGCCTACCTATTTTCCCAGGACGCACATGACAAGCTCTCCAGAAAAAGCTCCAGAGACAGAATAAAAGGCAATTATGCTAAATCCTCGTGCTGTTAGAGCTGTGACTCCAGGGCACACCACACAGCTCAGCAGTAAGTAATGCAACGTGTGTGGCGATATGCTCAGAATCTAATTGCGCTTGGCTCAGACTGAAGCGAGAAGCGAAACAGGACGTATGTGAAAGTAGACTAACAACCTCATTTTCGCTTTTGCGTCCTGTCCTGCAGCCTTCCCTACTTCATTACAAGGGTACAAGCTCTGCCCTCTATGGGGCTACGAAGCAGTTCTATGAATAACATAATAACTGAGATAACTCTGTTCTTGGTTGAATCGCAAGGGCTGTTGACCCGGTTTTAAAAATAAATATCTCTTCATACTCCAATCTGCTGGCTGCATCACTGACTTCTGAAAACCTACTGGGGTCAACCAATGCTGGCATACATGAGTGTTTTAGTGTGGAGCCACCCAGGCAACAGGGGTTGGTCCCAGGCCCAGTTTCCACTATGAGCCCAGTGGGGGTGACGGTACATTATATTTAACAGCAATTAAGTGCCGACTGTTCCATTCATTTCATGTTTCATACTTCAGGAATTTTGTTGTCTTCTCTACAGGGACTAGAGTGGTCAGGCCCTCCTCGTGTGAGTCTTACAAACTTACTGAGGTCAGCATTTCCTTCCATGATTCAACTCTGACCCTAACCTCAGTGGGAGCTGCATTTTGAAACCATAACAGACTAAAGGACAAAATGGCAAGGTGAGCAATTTGATATATTTCTTCCCATAAATGTGATTAAGAAGCTGATTCCCGAATGCTGTGGCTATCAGAAGTAAAAATCCTGGGTGATTTAGAATCTGGGAATTCTATTGATAGAGCCACCAGTCATCTTATTGATTAGGAGAAAATGCTACAGGATTGCACTCAATGGGCTAACAACAAGTTGAAGGAGGAGAATGAGTTCCTGCAGGCCGAACTGTAGCAGCAGAAAAGCTGAGAGACAAAGATACAGCCAGTCTGAGAACAGTGGTAGCGGCCTCCAGGCGGAACTGAAGAAAAGCCAGTTGAGGAGGGTGACAATGGAGTGACCATCACCTCCTGGGCTTTGAACCCCAGAAGCAGAGGAAGAGAGAAATATAGGTGGTAGAGCTTTGACTGTCTCTTTCTTTAGGCTCAAAGTAAAACATTAACCAGAATACAAGTGAAAATTGATTTGCAGTCCATTTAAAGTTGAGAACGGGAAGCACTTCTTTTAATAAGTCTTTACACGGATTTGAATCTGCAGCAAGCTGTTGAAGAAGGTATAGTGGCTTCTTTCTAGATCCTTTTACAAACTAGTGCTACCCAAGTAAGATTGATGGGCCAGATGACTTTCCCTTATTTCTGTCTTGTTCAGATGTTCTTTCTTACATACAGTATGTTACAAATGTTGCACTCATTAGAATGTAAGAGGAGCTTCATTATTTCCATCTAGCCTGCAATGTACCTGTAGTTCAGTTTTCTTTTCCTTCTCTACAATGAAGCCTTCGAATGAATGCAGAAATATGCTGGCATTGAAGCCATACAAACACTGCACTCACTGATATGCAATTTCTCCTCAGTGTTGCCACAGCAGGGGGTTGACAGTCTCTTGAATTCCTGGCGGAAGCAATACCCCAACAGTCTTACTGTTGACATCTTTATATATAAAGGAACAGATACTGCCTAGGAAGAGTTGTTTTAAATGCCACTCCAGAGCCAGGATGGCTGTGCTTTGACACAGACACTGGCTTTCACTCCAGGACATGTTTCTTACCGAAGCCCTGTGTCACATCAGTGCAGTCAATTGGGAATTAATTCACAATATTGATCTGGAGAGAGCTGATTTATACTGCAGGACATTTACTGAAACAATATCGGTTTAGAATTGCTAGGGGCATCAACCCTTAGATTTGAATGAAAACCTCTGGTGTCCAGTAAATTGACCACTACACAAAAAGAACAAGATGTGCAACCGTTTTCTACTCCTGACTTAGGAGTCTTTGGATGAAAGTGAAAACTTTCACCTCCATTCTGATTACCACAAATTGTACACTCAGTACTTGATGGGCCTCAGACATAATATCAGCACATTCATATATCATTCAAAAGGGGGCTCTCTGTGAAAAGTGAAGATTACAAATTTCAAATATGAAATTGACAGGAAAACAATTAAACTAAAAATTCCATCTGTTGTGGGAAGCCAGCACCTATCCTGGCAAGCAACGGGCACAAGACAGGGTACCTCGTGGGCAGGACATCAGCCCATGCAAGGTAGACCTAAGATGTAACCAGTGCTTCAAAATGCCTTTGGTAAAATGCAGCAATTTCTGTGTATGCAGAAGGGTTCTCAAATTAATAGGAACGTATTACAGTGACATCACCCCAATGGCTTCTCAGTCCAATTCAAGAATCAATCCCATAAAAGGACTGGAGTTAAGGAATACTTGTTCACTTTGCAGCTTACTGCAAGGCATGACTTCAAATCCATATTCTGGGACATGCTTTTTAGGGTTAAAAAGGTTAAAACAGATTCACACCAGAATGGTGACACCAAGCTTAACAGAATATTTTCATGTTGAAATATAAACTCATTAATCAGACCCTCCCTTTTGTCTCCTCACGAACTTTGGCCCAGGTTTTGGAATGAGCCTTGTCTGTGAGTCATCAGACCACAGGATGTTGAGTAAGAACTTCAAAGTTTTGTCTAGGTATGTTTTGGTATACTGTATGCATGTCTTTGACTTTAAACACTTTCAGAAAAAGAAGCCTGTAGCTGTTCATACTGTATATAAATGTGTATTGTATGAGTTCATTGTAAACTGTTTATTAATAAAAATACAAAGATGTGTTCACACTTTTCATCTTCAGGACAAAATCTAAGATCATGGGTGAATGCTGGTTTATGTAGTAAAAATTGCAACTGTAATTTATGAAAAATACAGTGCTCTTCAAAAGAATTGGTTCAGTGAAATCACAACTGTTACTTTTCCTTTACAGTCAAACAATTTGTATTTGTGGTCATGTAATGCATGATAACATTTATTTTTGGGCAATTTTGTGTACGCATATGAACTTATTTGAACCAAAACCTAGTTCCACTTCAGCACAGTGAGTTCAAGAGACCATACGTTTTGTGACACGTTTACCTTGAGACAATGTCAGAGCTTAAAAGTCGGTATTTTATTGAGATAAAAGTTGTATGAAGTATGGGATCCATTGAGCTCACCAAACACTAAACATTTTAGATGCAGCCGATTTGAGCTTTTGCCTATTTGAAGGGTGTTCTCTTCTAAACATTGTCTTTCTGCTGGAATCAGTTGGAATGTTCATCTGGATTTAAATTCACATTACAACTGGAGTTTGACTTGTCCAGTTTAGGATTTTGTACTTGTTTTACTACAGGTGAATTGCACTGGCTATATGTTGCTGGTCATTGTCATGCTGAATTGTGAAGCCCCGCCCAATAAGTAAGGATACCTTTGTATCAGCAGACAAAACGTTCCTGTAAACTCCACAGTCCATTCTGCTTATATAATTAGTTACGTTACTGTGGAACTGTGCTCAAATACCAATCAGAATTTCTGGAATATTCCTTCAAACACAACATTTAAGACTTAGCGCTATAATAACTATAATTGTGCTGTAAACATTGCATGGAATAATAACACTATCTGAGTAAAACATACTGTAAGTATACATTGTACTAGCCTCTTCACTGTACCTCTCTCATATTAAGTACTGGGATTTTTAGTATCAAGAATATGGCTTTTGTATCCATCCATTTTCAAGTAACTACTTTATCTTCAGAAAACTCAAACTCAAAGAGAGTCAGAGTCTATCCTAGGGGTCTCTGGGCTCAGGGCATCAGGTGGAAGATACACTCTGGAAGAGATGCTAGTCCATCACAGGGCACACTCCCACACATTGGGGATCTACAGACTGTGGGAACACATTTGTCAAATGTTTCAAAACAGGAGGAGACTGGTGTCAAACACAAGACGCAACACAAAACGCTCCAGCATTGTTTCCATTGAAGAAGCTCCAATATGTGCTGTAGCCCAAAAGCAGCTTAAGCTCTCAATCTGACATACAGTAAATTCATACACTGTATATGCATTTACTGTATATAAAGGAACGTGTAAATCTTAATTCCTTGATTAATGATAGAAAGAAGCTTTGTTAGGTCCTTTATTAATATAGTGACACAATCAATCCCCTTTTCTATTTATTTGATTAAAGGTAAGATTCAAATTGGAGATTGTGCATGTACTGGGCTGGGTACTAGACTATTACGTATGGTATATAAATGCCTAATAGCTAACATTTTGAAGGGAGAAATCTGCACATGGGTTTGTGAATCGAAGCAATGTACAGGACAAGACAATAATACATTTCACAAATTTCCCATTGCAATTTCAAAGGTAGATCTCCTTGAGTAGCATAACATAAATCTGTCCATACATATATTATTTGTAATTCTACAACTGAGTACAAGGGAGGTAGATGGGTAATCAAAATATACAATATTATGCTTAACAGGTACAATGGAATGCCTTTTCCTGGGTACATTTTTTTAATTTACTTTTTATTCACAGCAAGCAAGGCAGAGAAATATAACAGACATCCAGGTGTAAAGAGAGCTGTCAGCAGCCTGTTGTCCCTGATACCAAAAACTGGAGCACTAATGAGACCTCATTATATTTGCCAGCTTTATGTTGTATTTTTATCATAATTATGCCCAAACGTCACCTCCTGAATAAAAAGATGCAGTCATATGCTGGCAGAATTAAAACGCTGTTAGTCATCTCGTCTTTATCTCTGGTGCAGTGTTTTCTTATTCTTTGTGAAAAAAAATATATATACAGATTTAATTGCATCTCCAGCAACTGACAAGAGCTGACATATTAAAAGGCATTCTGTAGTTTAGTTGCATCTTAAGGAATATTTTGCCTTCAATTTAGATATTTATATTTGCATTTTCTTAAGTGTTCATCTCAGCCAGAGACAGCCGAGCCAGGGAAGGGAGGATAGGAGTATCTTTTGATCCGAAAGCTCCTGTTTTGTTTGCAGGGAATGTCTGAGATGGAATGTACGACTACACAGAAAAGTTTCCTGTTTGAATCATGGGGGTTTTTGGGCAAAGAAAAAAAAAATCAAGTCTCTGCTGCCTTGACTGTAAAACACATGATTATAGAGAGTTGTTTTTTTCCTTTGAATCACCTTCACCCCTTCCACGCAACTCACCAGCTCTCTCTGTGAAAACCCATAACTGAAAAACAGAAAAATACAGTTACAATAATAAAAGTAACTGGGAACCTAAAATAACACCTCAAAGTGTTTAGTCTGCTTTTTAAAAATCAACACGGACTCTAAGTTCTCACCACTCCGGAGCACATAGCCTAAAAAGGTCTACTGTTCCTCTGAAAGGAATCAGCCGAATATTCCAGTTCGTCAATGAGTCTGAAACACACTGCAGAGCTGCACGATGACAGATTGTGTACATGTAAAAAAATAGTTCAAGAGCAGGTTTATTGGATGGGTGGGACCACATACTTTCCAGATGTGTAGAACAACATTTGCCCAGCATTGGAAATATGGATAACACCATAGATCGAAGGGCTGCATATTCAATTGATAAATTCTTTATATCCAGGGCATTAACAAAATGTAAAGAATTAAGGACCTTAGGAAATAATGATGATGATCACATGGATGATGACAATTCACACTATTCATTT